ACATACTGCGCTCAACTAAACAAAAACTTGCAATTTTTTAAATATGCTCAATTTTTTAAATACTGTGATCTGTTTCTAATTATTTATTGTTAAATACTGCGCTGTTTCTAATTATCTATTGTTTGTTTCTGATTCTCGAACTTTTTTAGCATATTACTGTATTACAAGATTAGATCTTTGTTTAGATCTTTTCGTTTTAAATTTTTTTTTTTATTTTTTGATCTTTCGTTTGACTTTTTTTTATTTATTTATTTATTTTATTTTATTTATTTTTATTAATACTTTTCTTTTTCCTTTCAGAATTATATTTAGGATTAGTAGTCGCCTTTACGAATTAGAGAATTTTTTTGGAATATAAGCTGGTATAAAAAACATCAGATCTAGTTGCTTTGTCTTTTTTTCGTGTTATTTTTCATTTTACTAACATTTTCTTTCTTGTAGGTTCGTATTTTGCTGGGCTTGGATCAGAAAATGGTACCGGAAATGTGATTTGGAATGGTGATTTGAAACGTAAACTGACATAAAAAGATAAGTGCCAGTTCTAGTTGCTGTCTTTTTTTCTTGTGTTATTTTTTCATTCTACTAACGTTTCTCTCTTGTAGATTTGTATTTCGCTGGCCTTGAGTACAGAAAATGGCGCTGAGAATGGTGATTTAGAACATGAACTAACATAAAAAGATAAGTGTCAGTTCTAGTTGCTTTGTCTTTTTTTTTTTCTTGTGTTGTTTTTTTCATTCTACTAACATTTCCTCTCTTGTAGGTTCGTATTTCGCTGGGTTTGGGTACAGAAAATGGCACCGGGAATGATTCGGAATGGTGATTCGGAACGTGAACTGACATAAAAAGGCAAGTGTCAGTTCTAGTTGCTTTGGTTTTTTTACTTGTATTATTTTTTCGTTCTACTAACATTTTCTCTCTTGTAGGTTCGTATTCTGCTTGGCTTGGGTACAGAAAATGGCACCGGGAATGTGATTCGAAATGGTGATTCGGAACATGAACTACCACCATTTTCTCTCTTGTAGGTTCGTATTTCGCTGGGCTTGGGTACAGAAAATGGCACCAGGAATGTGATTCAGAATGGTAACATAAAAAAGCAAGTGTCAGCTGCATTGGTTTTTTTTTCTTGTGTTATTTTTTCATTCTACTAACATTTTCTCTTTTGTAAGTTCGTATTCCGCTTGGCTTGGGAACAGAAAATGGCACCAGGAATGGTGAACTAGATAAGTATCAGTTCTGGTTGCTTTGTCTTTTGTTTTTCTTATTATTTTTTCATTCTACTAATGTTTTCTCTCTTGTAGGTTCGTATTCTGCTTGGTTTGGATACAGAAAATGGTATCAGGAATGTGATTCGGAATGGTGATTCGGAACGTGAACTGACATAAAAAGATAAGTGTCAGTTTTAGTTGCTTTGTCTTTTTTTTCTTTTCATTTTACTAATGTTTTCTCTTTTGTAGGTTCGTATTCTGCTTGGCTTGGGAACAGAAAATGGTGCCGGGAATGGCGATTCAGAATGTGAACTAGATAAGTACTAGTTCTGGTTGCTTTGTCTTTTGTTTTTCTTGTGTTATTTTTTCATTCTACTACCATTTTCTCTCTTGTAGGTTCATATTTTGCTGGGCTTGGGTACAGAAAATGGTGCCGGGAATAGTGATTCGGAACCGTTGGGTAATTGGTATTAGACACGAATTACGAACTAATATTAGGCGCGACTTTGTCTTTTTAAAGCACACAAATAGTATAGAGCTGTGTATGTAATAAATATGTAATAAATATGTAATAAATATGTAATAAATATGTAATAAATTTAATAAAAAAATTTTATATATAATATTTTATGTTTTGCGAATTGCAATATTATATGTACTGTATAATTTCAAATTTAGTGAATTAGTGCAAAATGTTTCGAATATTCGAAATATATTGTGAAATATTTCGAAATTTAATGCAAACATTTCGAAATTTTATGTAATATATTTCGAAATATTTCGAAATTTATTACGTAATATTTCGTAATTAAAAATTTTAAAATATTCCGCATCGATCGTAATTCTTATAGAATATTTCGTGGCGTAATAACTTACGTAAGATTACGCTTATATATTTTGCTGATGTCAATTAGTACGAATTGGTTGTCTTTACATTTAGTTCTCTTGTAACAAAAGTAAATCGACCGATTATCAATAATATACTGCCCTTTGTGATTTCTTCTACTAACGTTGTTTTGCTGAACCTAAAAGCTTTAAATACGTATTCAATGAAATCATTCGATCCAGTCCTGTATACGGCACTTCCGCTACAGATCTTATTTGAACTTGAAATGTTTTTAACATAAGATATAGTGCAGAAAATAGACGTCATAGTTTTATTATTATTATTATTATTATTATTATTTGTCAATTATTTCTTTTTTTTTTTTTGATTCTTTCGGTATTAATTAATACTGAAAAATAGGCATCTTTTATATCTTTTTTCGATAACCAACAGATAAGAAATTATTCAATTAAAAAAAGAAAGTAAAATCGATACAGAATTTTTTGGTACGCAAATAATAGGTAATAATAAATATTTTTATTTTATTTTTTTGTTCTTGTATAAGTTACGTATTGAATCGTATATTTAAGAGAACCGACGGGTAGGAATAATATGCAATAATATAATTTTTAGATCCATAAATAGCGAGATTATTTAATTATTAAGTGATTCTTTAGGAGATTATACAAAATGCGGCAAACAGTATTCGAAAAATTTAATTATGACAAGAAAAGTCTTTTTCTAATTGGTATTCAGAGTTAGATTATTGGGAGGAAATGAAATTCACTTAATATATTCTAACAAAGTGCATAATAGTTATTTTTATTATTATTATAATAAAAATTTTTTGCCTCTGATGCAGGTATTTACTTGCAATTGTAAAACCTAAAGTTTGAAGGATTTTTTTTTTTTTTAGCATATAATGAATTAGTATAATAAGTGAGCAAATTTTGTTTGTTAGATGGTTGCAATTTTTTTTTTAGTAATTAAGCAGTATAGACAAATTGGCTTAAGCATTCTTTGTTGAAATCATATTAAAAAAATAAGTATTTATAGAAAAGCGACATATTTAATACAATTATAATCAGGGTTCATCATCAAACGAAAGAAGCTTACACATGTTTTGTTCAATAATATTTTGGGCAAGATATAAATTTAATAAAATAAAATGTAGCAGTGATAAATAAAATGCGTATATTAATTGGAAAATTATAGACATCTCTGGCCAGAGACGCTTAGCTTATGCATCTCTGGTCAAAACAATGTTCGGGTAAATAATTTTAATCAAGTTAAGGTTTGGGTTAGAGTTTGGGTAGAGGTTATGGCAAAGGAAGGTATTAAAGGTAAAATTGTTTTCTCGACATTTTTATTTAATGCCCCAATATAGATTTTGATAGCCGTTTTTTGTATTTTCCGCTTTTTTAATTTTTTTTCGTGTTTTTTGTTGTTTTGCTTTGTCGGACTGATCCGGGAGAATTGTACTTTGTGTAACTGTTGTGCTATGCGAAAACATGCGTCACGTGATATATTAGCATTTTGATTGGCTATCAGTCCAGAGATGTATAAACTAGGCATCTCTGGCCAGAGATGCCTAAAAGCACCCATATTAATTATGCAATGAAATTTTTTTATTGATTTATTCCTTTTTGCCAGATAGGGTTAAGTTTGGTATTTTAGTTAGACATCAAAATATGACGTGAATAGATCCTATGCAGAAAATCGGTCAACATGCATTTTAGACAGGAATCGTCAAAGCAAAAATTTATAAGGTTTATTATTTGGATAAAACCAAAAGCTATTTAGGAGAACTTTTATACATACAGAAGATCTAAACTTATTCTCCATTTTAGTAAACACACAATATAATATTTTTGGTTGATTTTTTTTATATATACAACAGCTGCCCGACAAGCGAAAAAAATTTTGAGCGCAATTAGCTTGCGCAGCTATAAACATGAGCTTCTCCAGCGCAAATTACATATATAGAGATAGAGTACCTTCATACAATCGGTTGAAATTTGTAACACTCAAAAATACCCAAAAAGAGGCAATTAAGGATTATCAATTACCATAAAGGAATATATATCCAACCAAAATGCATTGTCTCGTAACACCAAATTAATACGATTACTTCTAAGCGCTAATAATAAATAAGAAAAAAAAAAGAAAAAAACAACGTTGAACTTTGTGAATTAAGCAGTACAATATATTTTTTATTACCTTTTACTATACAGTAGACAGTACTTCAACTCTTAGTAGATCTACCTTTTATTGCGCGATTCAACGCGATTCAACTTGACTTTCTTATCAAAACGTTCGCTGGAAGTTATTTAATTTGTAAAATATTATACGGTTAGTTTATTTTTTTTTAAGTTTACTAATACCCGAAAATTCTGGTTTTATACTACTATCCTATATAAATACTCGTGTAACGTCAATCCCCCTGTTGAATTACATTATTACGCGTACTCAAACAACTCTACACTACACACTACCTCTATTACAACTTCTCGTATTATAAACGTTACATTCATAAACTATATCCGTAACCTAAATAAATACAACAAAAAGATTTAGAATAGTCGTTCAAAATAGTATTAGTATTTTTTATTTGTAAAAGGTAAACAAGACCAGTTGAGACAAAATCCCACAATTTTCACTTAGGTTGCCGAACCACCTTCCGACCCTTCAAAATATTCACTTCTCATTTAGTTTCCTGATCTTTTGTATCTTACTGTATCTCTCATTATAAAAAAGTACGTTTGTTTTGCCACGTATTACACCAAAAAAATTTTTTATATATGACGTGACGATTTTTACTAAAAAAGTACTTTAAAAATTACAATTGACTGTATAAATAAATGATCATCGCCAATCATATTTATCCTAATTTTAGCCAATCAAAACGAACTTCTTCAATGCTGTTGCTGTTGATCACAAAGTTATCATATCTTTCAAACGAACGTAATATGACAGGCCCACGCGATCTTAATGCACAAATAGAAAGCCTTATAAACCGACTTCGTCGGCGGTATATACTTTTTCGAATAAATTTATGTATTTTACGATATTTCCTTCTTACCTTTCTCAATTTTTGTACTATCAAAATAGTCAAGTAGTCGGTTCCTGGTGTGTCTCTATTGAGACAGCTATACTACTCCGACAAGTGGTGTCCACTACTCGGTGGAACCAGGTTGAAACATTGATAAAACTTGTGAAAGAAGATATAGGAAAGAAGTTAGTTATGGCTCAACCACGAGGTGCGTGAGAGACTGAATTTCATGTTTCAGAAATGAAACTTTTTAAAAATTAAAATTTTTTAATTTTAGAACTTGCCGTAGGGAATATCGTTCGCCGCGTATTACAATTAATACGTGATGTATATAATTCAGAAGTTGCCACTTTTGATGATCCTTCTGCTGAAGATGGTGACAAAGATTCAATCACAGATGATGAGGAGGAGGAAGAAGAAATTAAATCAAAATCATCATCTCAGAAAATAAGAACTTATAGTTTTTACAGTACAGCTTCCATGATAAATTTACTTGGAGATGGCCCTCCGACTGGTACCAAAGAGACATCTATGGATTTTGATCGAAAACAACCCAATATCCTTTTGATTTGTCAAATTATATTGTCATTTAAATCTTAGTCAAAACTATCTTTGACTTTTGTTGAATACATTTAAAGCCATTAATTATATCAGAAATACAAGAGATGATTAATGAATTGGAAAATACATATGTAAACATAATAGATCAGGCCATGGAGCATATTCATTCGAAGTATGATTTATACACATTTTGAACAATAGTATTCGTTTAAGATGTAATTAAGTTTTCAATTTATTATGCTCATCTTTATTGAATATTTTGTGTACAATTCAGTGAAATTATCATGACTGTTGGTAAATCAAGAACTGTGGAAATGTTCTTGAAAACTGCTGCCAAGAAAAGAAAATTTTCTGTTTTAGTCGCAGAAACATTCCCAACGTACGCATATTTAAATTTATTTGTTTATAATATTACGTTTGCTTACGTGAAACTATCCGACCAGATATCTAGGTCATGAGATGGCATTATCTCTATCACAAGCAGGGATTGACACAACTGTAATCTCCGATTCAGCAATTTTTGCTGTCATGTCCAGAGTGAATAAAGTGATAATGGGCACACATGCAGGTAATTCATTTATCTGATCTTCTTTTTTAAGACTTATTCTGATTAGAATTTAATTTTAGTACTTGCGAATGGGGGATTGATATCTGTTAGCGGTGCTCAAATGGTAGCTACAGCTGCTAAACACCATTCCAAACCGGTAGTAGTTTGTACTGGCCTTTATAAATTATCGCCGCTTTATCCTTATGATGAAGATTCATTTAATGATCTTGTTGCTCCTGATCCAGTATTAAGCTTTAATGAAGGTGAGTCGAGTATGAGCTACAGTCGATATTTAGTCTTTCAATGCTGCAATTATTTTTTTGTAGGCAGAAAGCTAAATGGGCTGCCGTCAATAGAAATTAAGCAGATTGTCATTTTTTAAAAAAACTAATGCCTTAATTTTCATCGTTCATATCTCGGCGAATTTCGAAGCTATCCACATAATTTAATCGTCAAAAGAAGCTTAGATATTATGCTTTCTTTTTACTATTAAATTATGAGGATAACTTCGAAATTCATTGAGATATGAGCAGTGAAAGTTAAGGCATTAATTTTTTAAAAATGTTATTTCTATTGATAGAAGCCCAAATGTGCAATGCCATTACCCAATATACAATTGAACTACTATTAAGTGTTAAATATATCTCATCAAGTAATTTGTTCTATACATAAAAGGCGATTTAATAGATAAAGTGACGCTATTGAATCCTTATTACGATTATGTTTCACCAGAACTCGTGAGCATTTTTATTACAAATACGTAAGTTGTTCGTATTTATCACAACGCGAATTTTAAACTGTCGAATCTATTAACACCTGGTTGTTTCATATATATCAGCGGAGGCCACCCTCCTTCATACCTATATAGATTGATAAATGAAAACTATGACCCCGATGATACTGTCATATAATACCTAACATCGTATATTTATTTGTACTTGTCAATGTAACTTGTACATTACTATTATTAGATCTATAATAGAGTTTGGATAGTTAAGTCCTTATTAGTTAATAAATATTCAGCAAAATTTTTATATGAAAAAGATAACAATTTTTGGTTGATTAATAATTATTTAAATTAACTAACCTTTTTGTATAAATCCCTTATTTAAAAATGTGCATTGTGTATTCTTAGTATATAAACTTATACAAAACGGCATAAGTCCGGGCAGTATTTATTAAAAATTTATAAAAAAAAAGAAAGCCACTGACTGGATCTATTCAAAGTCTCATCGTTGTGAAAATGAAGACATTAAATTTGTATAGAAATTGGGTTACCCGTCGATCCACCCGAATAATAATTTTGATTTATACAGGTTAATTTAACTGCATCTCTGAGTATATCCCGTAAACCACATAAGCATAAGCGTACTAGTTAACGAGAAATTTTTTTTACTTAATACGGTTAACATGGCATCAAGCGACTCAAGTCAACCTTCAAATGCAGCTACAAGTACAGCTACAGGTATAGCTTCTAATAGTATATATTTGTTTTCGTACTGTTCTTAAATGAATATAATAACGTTATTTTAAAATTTACAGAAGAACCGACAAATTTAAACTTGACGCGTCTGATCGATTATCTAGCAAATTCTCTAAAGAAAACGATTGGTGGTGTACACACCTATACTATATACGCGCTTTCTACTAAATTGATACCCAAAGAATCTTTGACTCTACCTGAAATATCCAACGCTGACTCGAACACCAAATCTAATCTCTTTGAGAGACAGTTACTATTACTTGTAAAGGAAAAAATTCCGTCAAATGATAAAGAAGTGTTTGTCTCCGGTGTAGAAATTTATGAATATCATGATTTTGACAGAGATTTACTTAATGTCTACATATCTAAAGTAGACACTACTGGGTATCGACCTTGTTCTTCGACTCCTACCAAAAATTTGTTAACCGCCTATATGAAATTCTACTTAGAAGAAACTAATGTTAATAGGCAACTGTTATTGAAACGTAAAACAATCAAATTTAATATTTTTGCGCGGCCACATCCCCAATATCTATTTCACCTTTCAGAAAAAAATCCGACGAAACGCGTATTAAATGACTCTGAATTACTAAAATGGTGGAAAAATGTTCTTCAACAAACTTTTTTACACAACACAATATGTAATTCACAAGAGAAAACTCGAAAAGAACGAGGGTGGTTTTTTTTTCCTGGAATGTCTTCTGAAAAAATTGCACGTACATTTATCAAAGATATTGTGAATGGTGAAGCGGAAAATCGCGAAAATTTATTCTGGCAATATGGATATCCATATCCGGATGCTGAAGAAGCAATAAAAGTTATTCCTAGGTTTGAAGATGACGCAAAGTCAAGATGGTTGGACACTGCCAGGGAATCATCATTAACAGTGAAGACCTTTTGGGAGTTGATATCTATTGGGGGTGAATTTGCTGGCGGAAAGCAGGCCGGCTTCTTTTGGGTTGAGGTTGCTTTAGATGATAATCAAGGATTGGCAAACAAGGATATAGAAACAATACCCATCATTGACCAAAGTTTTAACATGAAAATAAAGAAAGAACTCGAGAAAGAAGTTGGTGGTGTTGTTGTTAGTGCTCACACGTATGTTCAGGCTCTTGGAGAACTTTTCGCTCAGGAGTTCCATTCCGAAGAGACCGCAATTGAGTCAACTTCATATTGGTGTCGTTATTTTACCGGGTTACAAGATAAAATTAATCCGGAAAATTTGGTGATTAAATTTACGGTGAATAATAGTACAACGACACATAATGATGGTCAAAAGCTTAATACTACTCCAGTTAATAATTTGCAAATGCATATCAAAAGAAAAGCATCATCTTCAGTTCAAAATGATAGCTTAAATTCAAAAATAGATTCAAATGTCAACGTGTTGCCTCTTTCGTCAATAAAGAGGGTTAAAAAATAAGATATGTTTATTGAATCATTTTGTTATCTAAATATACTTATAAAAAAATGAATATACTATTCTGATTAATAAGTTAATAAACATATGAATAATAATTTGCAAACTCATTATATCAAACTTATCGAGCAGTATGTGTTAACAACGTTTATTAGTTGTGTCTAAATTCACTAAAACTTCTTTGACACTTTTACATTCTTTTTTAACCTCCTTTTGTATTTCCTCCTCAATAAGACGTGCTTTGGAAATTTTCAAGTCTGGATCGACCTGTAGGATCATATCAATCAAATAAAATGGGCCAGACTTACGACCTCTTATGCTTCGAAAGTTGATAACACCCGGTTCAATGCCCTAAAAATAAAGTTATTCAATCAAAATTAAATATAATATCACTGTTATAACGCATAATCACATGTCTAATAAAATGAAACCTGAATCTTATAAACAGCCTTTTCAACTTTCTTTATGACATCATCTTTCGCTCCCATATCAACCAATTCTCTTAACGATGATATCATAATTTCAATTCCACTCTTCAGAATCATTCCTGCTACTAATATACCGCCTATAGGATCAAGAAGTGGAAAACCGAAAGAACTTCCTCCAATCGAGATCACTGCTACTAGACTTGATGCAGCATCACTTCGATGATGCCTGTTGTTTACATATGAGACAATATAAAGTAACATTTTACTTCTGTATCATATAAGAACATTTTTACATACCATGCATTGGCAGCTAAAATATCGGATTGTTCTTCTGATGCAATTTTCATCGCTTTTAAGATAATAATTTATATTAATAATTATCAAAAATTATGTAAATAATTGTGGCAGATCATAATGAAATCCAGATCAAAATGAAATTATAATATAAAATCTCGAAAAATAAAATTTTTTGGGGTG